TTTTTTTTTGTTTTTTTTTTGTGTATCAATTTTTGATACAAGCGATATTGAGGGAGAGGGGATTCAAACACAGAACCTCAAGAATGCAGAGAACTGTTAACACTCGAGATGCAAGTCCCTTGCAACTATACATTAAGAAATTAGACATGATCCATTTAGTTGACTATACTGATTTATAGTTTGATTCCATAAGATAGTGATGAATATATGCTTCCAAAGACATGAATTCAAATAAAAATTACTCTGCGTTTTATTTTGGTTTATTTGACCCTAAAATGACAAAATCCCAGAAATATCTGTAGTGTGTGTTAAAGAGACCTTTTACGTTGGTAGGCGGGTTTTTTATTTTGATATTTAAGGCGGGCACATCACAGATCACACACATACACGTGGGACCATCACAACACCCGCCTTTTTTGTGCTTTGGATATGGGCCACTCAAGTTGTCAACTACCAGCGCTGGCCGCCCAAACAATTCAAAATTAAAAAATATATATATACAAAATGGCATTGTACTTGTAGCTAGCCGAAGCTTCTTTGCCTTTGTTATAGCACCTTCCTTCCCCTTATTTTTTTCTGTTTAAACTTTTCTGGAAAAAGTAGAATTGAGAATTGTTATTTGCGCGTTAAAAAAGCCATCATGCACTCATTTAGTTGTAATTTATTTTCTATGTTTTGATAAAGTGAAGAGTGGATGATGATTTTTCTGGAGTGTCAATAATAACTCCGTTAAAATTTAATTTATTTTTTTAGATGTGTGAATAATTAAAGTTTAATTAGTATTTGAATAATTTGAAGCAATATTCTCTTAATAATAGCGCATGGGCAATTTGAAATTGGAATCATCCATCCAATCGTGTGCCCCATATTATAGAAAAATTATTGTACACATCATGACACATGAAATCCAATTCTTCAAGACTTGCCCTAGAAGGAAACTTCTCAATATTGGATGGCTCACTTCAATCTACAGTCCACCCATATAGAAATGGACAGGTATATTTAGCAAATCTTGATAAATAAATTAAAAACTTTGAAATGTTAGATTGTTAATCTTTAATTCCATTTGATGAGAATCATTTGTAATTGTATGTCACGGGAATAATATTATTTTGTTATTCTCAATTAATTAGGTTCTGTCATATAAAAAAGTTATCACGCGTAATTGATTAGGAGACATACTCCAATTGATAGCCCATTGCATGTAGAGATGTGCTAGCTACAGTTGTTTGGCACTCGTATAAGTGAATGTCAATTGTTGATGCATTGTAGGACTCGCTTGCATCAACGGTGGACATGAAGCGTATACCTCCATTCCACATGTTGGCCATATAATTAACTAAGACCCATTCCACATGTCGCCCAATTATCGTTTCGTTGTTTCTCAGTTTGATACCAATCCAATAGGCCACCAGTACAAACAATAATTTCACCCATTTTCCGCCAAAAGAATAAAATAAAAAAAAAGTTTACAGAGAGAGACAGAGAGAGAGAGAGAGAGAGAGAGAGGGAGCGCTCTCAACTTTCATATTCGAAGATTCAATAAGGCTTTGATTTGAGGTGAAACTGAACCAAAAGGGGAAAAGTTGGTCGCCATCACCACGAGCTCACTGTAATTGTTTTGACAGAGAGAGGGAGAGGGAGAGAGAGGGAGAGGGATTGAGCTGATCTTGGTGGTGGTTGGTGGGTGGAGAGATGGCGATACTGTACGCGCTGGTAGCACGGGGATCGGTGGTGCTGGCGGAGTTCAGCGCCACGTCGACGAACGCGAGCACAATCTCCAGACAAATCCTCGAGAAAATTCCCGGCAACAGCGACACCCACGTCTCCTACTCTCAGGATCGCTACATCTTCCACGTCAAGCGCACCGATGGCCTCACCGTCCTCTGTATGGCCGACGAGACCGCCGCCCGTACGTCGTCGTTTCATCAATGCCTTCCCTCCAATTCCCCCAATTTTCCCTCCTCAAATTTTCAATTCTTGATCTTTTTTGTGCAGGGAGAATGCCTTTCGCTTTCCTCGAAGACATTCATCAGAGATTCGTCAGGACCTATGGCCGCGCTGTTCATTCGGCTCAGGCATACGGCATGAACGATGAATTTTCTAGGGTTTTGAGCCAGCAGATGGAATACTACACCAATGATCCTAATGCCGATAGGATCAATCGCCTCAAAGGTGAAATGAGCCAGGTAAAGGTTTCAACTTTGTCACTAATTTATTAAGTTCAATTATGGGTCCGATTTTGTTTTTGAATGCATTTTCAATTTCTGTTTCATTTTTTTGAATTTGTAGGTGCGAAATGTGATGATTGAGAACATTGACAAAGTTTTAGAAAGAGGGGATCGCTTGGAATTGCTGGTTGATAAAACTGCTAATATGCAAGGGAATACCTTCCGATTTAGAAAGCAAGCTCGCCGTTTCAGAAGCACTGTGTGGTGGAGAAATGTCAAGCTCACGTATGGTTTCTGAACTCAAATCTCAATTGCTCAAAGAGTAATTTCGAAATTACCAAATTGTTTTTTGAAATTTCAACTTATGATTTGTAAGATTCGCGTTTTACGTAATGGGTAATGTTTTCATGTCAGACAGTGTGGCATACGTTAGGCTAGACTGTCAATTCAACCGGTTATTCAACCCACAGTTTGTGCATATTATGTTGCTAGAGTGTCAATTCAACTATGTATTCAAACCACCGTTTGTGCATGTTATGTTGCTAGAATGTCAATTCAACAGCAAATTCAAACCACAAGTGTGTGCATGTTACTTTGCTAGACTGTTAATTCAACTAGGTATTCAAACCACAGATTGGGTCAGATTTTCTGGAAAGAGCGTTTTATGTAATGATAATGTTTTTATGTCAGACAGTATGGTGTGTTCCATTTGTAGACTGTCAAGTCAATTCAACTACGTATTCAAACCATGGTTTATTGTTTAGATAGTATGGCACGAGAGTATTTTCCTTCGTGTAATTATGATTATGCAAATGCATTACTTGCATGCCCCCACTTACCAGATGCTTTGAATCTTGCAGGGTTGCATTGATATTCCTTGTGCTGGTGATAATTTATGTTGTGCTGGCTTTTGTTTGCCATGGCCTTGCACTACCCTCCTGCTTGAAGCGATAGTGAGAAACAAGTGAGACTGGAATGTGCTTCCTCTTCATATTCCTCCTCTTCTGGGTATATGGGATTCTTCTATTTAAACTTCCACTGTTGTAAGTTGTGTCAGAGTGTCATTTCTATGTGATTTGAAATGGCTCAGTTGTGTGTGTTAGCCCGTGGGAGTTTTGAACTGGTTCCGGTTGTATGTTTGTTTTTCTTTTTTGGCCAAAAGGTTGTATGTTTCTTAAAACCATAGCTTGATGAGTTTATATTTGTGGCTGGTCTCATTTATCTAATTGTTTTATTCGATTGTGAATTTGGACTAATTGTCCGAAGAGCTAAATTTATGTTCATCGACAAACTGCAACTTGTGAGACACATGGGTGATATCTTCTTTTTGGTTTTGCCTATCTTCCACATCTGTACAGTAATCGGCTGTTACTTTTTACTCAAGTCTGCTGCCCGTATATTGACCACAAAAAAAAAGTATGTTGCCCGTATTGATGTGCATTATTATTGTTTACAGTCTCATGTTTATTTTTGAGTAGGCAAAGCAGCAGCTAAATATGAGGGAGATTAGAAAGTCAAGAATGAAACATAGAGAATGAATTTTGTTACTTCTGCGGTTCAAAATGCACTCAGATCAGAAGAACTTTTATTTGATAACTTGTATGCTTGGATTTCTCTGGGTTGGCAGGCCTTATCTAAAATTGAATCAGTGAACAAAAGGCTTCTGGACTTTATCTACCTATTAGTTGGCATGTGCTGTCCACTAATGCTAAGAACAGTTTCTTAGTCACAGAGTTAATTCTATTGCCTTAGCCAGAAAGAAGGATAAAAGGATTCATTGAGCGAGAGAGAGAGAGAGAGAAGAGATCTTTGTATACATTAAGTAATATATATTGTTCTATGTTACACTAGGGTATCCTCTACAAGATGAAACTTGTTTAACAACTCCTCCAATGCTTGCAAGGTAGTCTTATAATGTTCTTCAGATTGTGCCCCTTCTTCCGCAACCGGAAGGGCGAGTTTATAAAGATGATTATGCCAGTACACTGGGTTATACACATCAATATTACTGGAGCCATGATGCAGAAGATACCTGCACTTGAAGTCTTTTCTCCACCGCGGCAGAATGTAGCGCGATGGGACTTCTTCCACGCCGTTATAGTTTAGAACGTTTAATGCATGCCTGCATAGGTAACCTTTGTAGTTGAACAAACTGCAGATGCATCGGATATCGACTTGTGTTGTTTCGTACAAAACCTCATAGCATCTGACTTCCTTCTCCTTTCCTTCAACTTCAACTCGTTCTTTGACTATGTAGGTTATTATAGGGCCATTCACACTCACCTGCCTCGTGTTGAAGCAGGAGTACATCCCCTCAACCTCCAACTGGAACCTCTTGAAAATCTCCTTTGTATATACCTTACATAGCTGCACTTCAAAATTACATTTCGTCTTCAATTCAAAGCTTGAACTTCTTGACTCCAGATCTGCCACCACCTCTTTCATGCGCTTCCTATGCAGAGCTAGATCGTACTTATCGACAAATTCCTTAAACGACGTATGTTTATGTACATAACCATCAAAAAATGCAGTTAAGCTCTCGTTTTCTTGGATAGGGATCATTCCGGAAAAAAATGTGTCTTTCAAGTAAACTGGAACCCACATTTGCCGATCTTCATACAATATCTGAAGCCATCTATTCTCTCCCAGTTCATGACATTTGATCATTTCTGCCCACGAAGTTTCAAACTCAGCTATTTTCAATGAATTATAGACTGATTTGTGCAATTGTCTCTTGATTGCTTCATAGCCCTTCAGTCCTCCCAACTTCTCCGGAACTTTCTGCATGATATACCACAAACAATAGCAATGCCGAGCATTTGGGATAACCTCAGACACTGCAATTTGCAAGGGCTTGCATTGATCAGTAATCAAAACTTGCGGTGGCTGCCCTAGCATGCATTTAAGCCATGCCCTGAGCATCCAAACAAAATTTTCCACTGACTCATGGCCAAGGAAGCCACAGCCTAACAACACAGATTGCCCATGGTGGTTAACACCAACAAATGAAATCAGGGGGATTTCATACTTGTTTGACAAGCATGTTGTATCTATTGCAACTGTGTCACAGAAGTAGCCATATGCAGCCCTGGACCTGGCATCCGCCCAGAACACATTCCTCAGGCGCCCGTCATCATCAAGATCCATCAAATAATAGAAATTAGGGTTCATCAATTTCATGCGGCAAAAGTAGTTGTAAACTGCATGAGCATCTCCTTCTTTAAGTTCCAAGTGCTTAGAGAGATCAATAGAATTCAAACCTTCACTTTCAGTAAAATGTGAGTATCCGTTGCTCCCAACATCCATAACAGGCGTTCGGTACAGCTTGATCGTATGAATTTCTGTCACCGGCTCTGGCAGCGGTTGTGCGCTTTTGGCAGCAAGGATCATTTTCTTATGTGACTTGTAAAACCTTTTGATTTGTGGACTCACCTGATGGTTGTGTTCAAGCTCTACTTCAACTATTCTCCACCTTTTCGAGTCCACCAGTCGGATAACTACCATGGCAGGACAACCGGTTCTTGTTTCTGGTCTTGGATTATTGGCTTCACTCTTTTTCTTAAAACCTGCACTGCTGCAACTCAACTTTGCTCGATACCGCTCTTTTCTCTTTGACCTGAACCATGAGTTGCTTACTCTGATGCCAAAGCCCTGTTCTTTACCATAGATATTGTAAAAATCATAGGCTTCATCAAAAGAATCAAACTCCAAACCCACTGTGGGTGCTGGGGGGTCCTTTCTTCTTTGTGTTTCCCCAGTTCCATTGTCATGCTCAATGAAGTCTCCCTCTAACTCATACTCATCACCTTCCTCAAATACTGGCTCACTATTGAGACAAACTTCTTCCATCTGAAATGGCAAACATAAGAAGACAAGAATTTTTACAAAAACTTTTAAAAAATTTAAGATACTTTTCCAACAAATGTTGATTCATTTGTCAAACTCTCTTATAAAGTTTGACAATGATCCAAAAACAACAATTGTCCTCTTCTTCCAAAAACTAGTGTAGTGGTTTGAAGCAAATGTGCTAAAAGAAATGTCATGGGTTCAAGTTCTATCATTTGTGTACTATGTGTGAGTTTAGTATGTTATCACCCCTCTCAATAGAAATTGTGCTAAAAGAACTAAAGGGTAACTAGTTTTTAACCCCTGTGAGACACAGTAAAATCAAATATTGTAAAATGGTGAAAAAATCATCACTTTGAGCTAATTTTTCAAGCAAGTATTTCCAGAAATCTTCAATGTAAAAGGCTAAAACCCTTCATACACTCAAACTACTTAACACAATTCCACAACAAAGATTTACCAATTCACAATTCCAGAATCAAATGGACAATCCAGAGCTTGTTAATGGGGAAAAAATGTTAAAAGAAAAAAAAAATGAAAGACGTTCTTTCGTTGAATTTGCTTCCTTTGGCGCTTACTTAGAGAGAAAAAGCGCTAGAGGTTAACGCAAAATTAACCCTTTTGCTTTTCTAACCTACCAAACAGATTAAACACTATTTCAGGCCCAAACAGGTTCGCAATTTAACTTTCTTTTACTTTCCCACCTTTTCTCGGAATCCAAACAATTTACTAATCGAAGTCCAAGGTCAAAACTATCCATTTAACCCATTATTAAATGCAGAAACACATAAAATTGAGGATGATGGAGTGAGAGCTTAGGCGATCTTACAGCGATTTACCGGGTCGGATCGGCGAGGCGGGTAATGAACTGTCAGAGGAATTGGGGCTGAGTCAGGGCTCCGAGTTGGCTGTTGCTGAAGGAAAAGTGCGAGTCACACTGGGGATTACGGAGCTTCCACAAATCTATCGACCCTGCGAGCTGACACGTGGGCTCAACGTTATTATACAGTTATACTGTTTTCTCTAGGGTTTTTCAATTTTCTTTTTTAGAAGATTTGTAGAACAAATAAAATAAACATTTTGCAACCCTTTCGTAGTTTAAAACTCTTTCATAAAATAAAATAAACACCAGATTTTTATCTTTGACAATGTACTTGGAAATGCAATCCAAAGGATATTGATTTAGAGTGTGTAATTTGCAAATTCTCTATTCAAATGTTTTTTTTGGTTGCTTTAAGTTCGAAAATAATGTGATATGTGAAAGGCTTTTCAAACACTCAACTATGGGATAAAAGCTTGCATCTCACAAGCTCATACTCCCTTTCTTTCTCTCTGTATTTCCTTAAGTGTACCGTCAATGAGAAAAGAGACAGCAAATGAGTATGAATCCGTGACGACTAAGTTTTTCTCTAATTGTAAGCATTCACATGCTCTATTCTATTGTATTCTACATCGAAACCCCGCATTGAGGAATCTCTCTAAATAAAAAGAATCTTGAGTTGTGGGTGGCGACAAAATAGATTGAAATTTATAACTTCTACTCGTACTCATTGGTGAAATATTATATGTTTTAATGTTGAAGACAATTTATATGGGTAGCATCCCTCATTATATAAGTATAGAGTATTTTAATTTCAATAAAAGGAGGTCATATTTTGGAGTTTGGCAAGACCCCCAAGACTTTAACAAAGTGGAGAATAATAATACAAAACCAAATGATCATTGGTCTTATTGTATCACCAATCTCTCATTTTGTGAAGCTTTCATGGAATTTTTGATCAACCACTGGTTTCCACATTGACTATTATTTTAATGCTCTCATTTTGTGGGCTTTTCAATTTAGATACGTATTGTCATGTTACCAAGAGTGGAAACCATGATGGTTGATATATAATATTAGGATGACTTATTTACAATAACACTCTTTGAGGTTTTTGGTGTTTTTATAAAACTCTTTAAGGTTTCACAAATTACATGAACACCGCTGAGGTTTTAAATTATTTTCACAAAACCCCTTTATGTTGATTTTTCTTCCAAAGATTAATGAGTTTATATAAGAAATTTATACAAATGAGAATGACAAAGGTAGTCTTTGAGATTAGATTGCACGGGCATTTATTGAGGTTAATTTTGTCATTTGCATTATTATTATTTTTAATGAAATCATCAATTTTTAAACGACAAATCAATGAAAAAGGGTTTCATGATACCTCATGGGGTGTTCGTGTAATTCTTGAAACCTCATAGATTTTTGTGAAAACATAAAAAATTCCAAGGAGTGTTAGTTTACTCATATTAAGATACCGAATGGAATATGATATGTGTGAAAAATTGTTTGCATGTATAGGTTGAAATTAAATTAGGTTTGAAGCGGATGTCAATTTATTTTTATTATTTTTTAATTATTGAGTTACATTATTGTTTTGAAGAATTTGATTCTTAAGAAACAGATATATGATCGTTGATTGATTATTTGGGAATCTCAAATACAAAAGTATAATCCCAAATTAAAAAGGTTGTAAGCTATGTCTTATACCATGATCACGAAGTTATATATGCATTAACACCAAAGATTATTAAACCATCGCGCCAAAAAATTATGGTTTAACCTTCCAAAATTTTATCCTTTTATTACAAACAAAGAATACATCAAAAGAGGAATGAAGAATAAAGAATGTAAAACGAGTTTAAGAGTAAGTTTTGATTTTAGTACAAATGATAGTCTAAATTATTTTAATTAATTTAATATTAGAGGACGAAAATGAAGTGCACTGTTCTCTGACTTAAACTACATCTGTAATTTTAATTTTGCAAATAACATTTTAGCTAATAAATAAGCACGAAGGGCAAACTGTAAGTAATTAGTTGGCACACCAAATCTAAAAGTACGGTACACGGTAAGGGAAAGCTCCCTAAGTATTTGTAGAAAAAGAAAAAAAAAGAAAAGAAAAGAAGAAATGCGATGCTCAAAAAAGCGGCAAAATCATTAGAATCATGCGACCCATGAATATTACTGGTCCAAAACTTTTGGTACTGCAGACGTGGCCCTATCCCAGCAGAAGACGAACAGCCCAGGCCACAGCGGATCTTCCCGAAGCACGTGCTGCCATAACTCCCCAATTGGGGCCACGACCTCTGCGGGTCCGATAGCACGTGCACCTACGTCACCAGATCAACGGCCGAGACAAAGCGACAAACCTAGTTTTCACGTAACGATATAACACCTGGATGCAGAGGATTATAACCAGCCAAACCTCAGAGACGCAAAACTAGGAAAAAAATTAACACAAAAAAGGTAAAAAAGGGCAAGGGTAGGGAGAGGGAAGGCGCAGGTGAACTATGATGCGCCGCTTACTGTCCAACGTGTCTTCTCTCTTCTTTGTTACCCTCTCAAAGGTCACCACAGCCTCCTCTCTCCTCCTTCTGTTTTCCCCAAAACAAAAAAATTTGATCAAAAATTAAAAAAAGAAGGAGAAATAAAAAACATTCAGAGACTGATAGAGATAAAGAGAGAAGAAGAGGCGAACAAAAACGAAACCCCAAATGAAGCAGCAGCATCAGCAGAGCTCGTCGTCTGAGGCGGTATCATCGTCGTCGTTGTCGTCGTCCTCCGCATCCACTTCCGTGGACCAATCACAGCCCGCCACGTCGTCGCCGAATTCGGGAGCCTCCGATAAGCTTCCGTCGATACCTGCGGCGGCGCCGGAGGACCTCGCCGTGGGGTCCAGGGATGGTGGCGGGGCGCAGGAGAGCGTGACCGTCGATCGGCGAGGCGAGTACTCTGCGGTTTGCCGATGGACGGTCCAGAATTTCCCGAGAATCAAAGCTAGGGCACTGTGGAGCAAGTACTTCGAGGTGGGAGGATACGATTGCCGGTTGTTAATATACCCTAAGGGTGACTCGCAGGCTTTGCCGGGGTACATCTCCATATACCTCCAAATCATGGATCCTCGGGGCACCTCGTCGTCCAAATGGGACTGTTTTGCGAGTTACCGGCTAGCCATCGTCAACCTCGCGGATGATTCCAAGACCATTCATCGCGATTCATGGCATCGGTTCTCGAGCAAGAAGAAATCTCACGGTTGGTGCGATTTCACGCCCTCTTCTACTGTGTTTGATTCGAAATTAGGTTATTTGTTCAATACCGACTCCGTTTTGATTACCGCCGATATATTGATATTGAATGAGTCCGTTAATTTCACGCGAGATAGTAATAATAACAATGAGCTGCAGTCGTCTGCGGGCTCGATGATGATGTCCGGTTCAGTGGTTGCCGGACCGGTTTCTGATGTGTTGAGTGGCAAGTTCACTTGGAAAGTGCATAACTTCAGTCTGTTTAAGGAAATGATTAAGACTCAGAAGATAATGAGCCCGGTGTTTCCTGCTGGAGAGTGTAATTTGAGGATTAGTGTGTATCAGAGCTCGGTGAATGGTGTGGAGTATTTGTCAATGTGTTTGGAGAGTAAGGACACAGACAAGACGGTTGTGTTGTCTGATAGGAGTTGTTGGTGTTTGTTTCGAATGTCAGTGTTGAACCAGAAGCCGGGGTCAAATCACATGCATAGGGACTCGTATGGGAGGTTTGCTGCTGATAATAAAAGTGGGGATAACACGAGTTTGGGGTGGAATGATTATATGAAGATGTCAGATTTTGTTGGGCTCGAGTCGGGATTTTTGGTGGATGATACCGCGGTGTTTAGTACATCCTTTCATGTAATAAAGGAGTTTAGTAGCTTTTCGAAGAATGGGGGGTTGATTGCAGGGAGGAGTGGTAGTGGGGCAAGGAAGTTGGATGGTCACATGGGGAAATTCAATTGGAGGATTGAAAATTTCACAAGGTTGAAGGATCTTTTAAAGAAGAGGAAGATAACGGGTCTTTGCATCAAGAGCAGGAGGTTTCAGATTGGGAATCGGGACTGTCGGCTCATTGTCTATCCCCGAGGTATGCATCGTTATTGCACAGGAGAATTCTCTGTTGTTTTATTCTTGATAATTGGTTGTAACCATCAATAACTCTTTCTTTTTGTGAATTAATGTGTTGCAAAGCTATGAAACCATGTGATACATCATTCACATACAGATATTTGAGGACTAGTAGTACCTTTATCATCCTATTTGAAAATGGTTTTACATGTCCTTCTGTATAATCCCACCACTTGAACGTATTGGAGCTGCATCTGTAGTTACTTGGCATCATGGGCCACTGCAAATCTGGTATGTATTAATGCTATCAAAGATAGCATAAGCCACCATGATTTGCATCTTTTGATTAAACTCTGCTCCGTGTGCTTGATGTTACTTGGGCATTGTTGAGGCATGCTCATTTTGTTCATAGGGTTGTGTATGCCAAGGAAATTTTGATATTCTCCATGTTGGAATGAGATAATTTTTTAATGTGATAGACAACATAAAAAATTGCGTAGCTTGTGCTTAAGAGAGTGAACTGATGAAAAGATATTCTTTGTGGTATCAGGGCAGTCTCAGCCACCATGCCACCTTTCAGTGTTCCTTGAAGTTACAGATTCACGGAACACTTCCAGTGACTGGAGTTGTTTTGTGAGTCATCGTTTATCGGTTGTGAATCAGAGGTTGGAGGAGAAGTCTGTCACAAAGGAGTCTCAGAACCGCTACTCCAAAGCTGCAAAGGATTGGGGTTGGCGTGAATTTGTGACACTTACTAGTCTATTTGATCAAGATTCAGGGTTTCTTGTTCAGGACACTGTTGTATTCTCTGCGGAGGTCCTCATATTGAAAGAGACGTCAATTATGCAGGATTTAACTGATCAGGATACCGAGTCAAGCAATTCTGGTTCCCAGATGGATAAGAATGCGAAAAGAAGTTCATTTACGTGGAAGGTGGAGAACTTCCTATCTTTTAAGGAAATAATGGAGACCCGAAAAATCTTTAGCAAATTCTTTCAAGCTGGGGGATGTGAGCTTCGAATTGGTAAGCATCAGTCGCACATTTTCTTCACTAGAAGGGTGTTTCAATTGTTTGCATTTCTTAATCTTACTGACAGTTTGTTTTTCCTTGATGCAGGTGTCTATGAGTCCTTTGACACTATATGCATTTATTTGGAGAGTGACCAGTCAGTTGGTAGTGATCTGGATAAAAACTTCTGGGTGAGATACAGGATGGCTGTTGTGAATCAAAAGAACCCTGCCAAAACTGTGTGGAAGGAGTCTTCTATATGTACAAAGACTTGGAACAATTCTGTTTTGCAATTCATGAAGGTTTCAGATATGTTGGAAGCAGATGCAGGGTTTCTTGTTCGTGATACTGTTGTTTTTGTTTGTGAAATATTAGACTGCTGTCCTTGGTTTGAGTTTTCAGACCTAGAGGTTAGTGTTTACAGGCCTTTTACAGTTATACACTGCCTGCTAATTATTATTGACTTGGTCCCTTTTAAACTTTACTACTTTAGCATGCTAAATGGCATTCTGTCTGATGTTGAAGTTTCTTCATTCTTGAATGCTGACCAATCTTGAGCTTGAGATAAGGATTTTTGTATTTTCTGGGCAGTTATGTGTGGTTCTTTCATTTTTAATTGATTTCTTAGCTAACATGGTTTCGGATACATTCAAAGAGTTACATGGGTTGGTTGATGTAAGTGTGTTTACTTCACTCCAATTGTTTTGTACAAAAATGTAGTTGAGGATAAGGTACAAGTGTGTTTTTCACCATGTCATGTCTCTGCCTTGAGCTGTAATATTTCAATTTTACTTGGAGCAGTTAAGTTATACGTCCTTTGGCTCATTATTGGAGGAACGTAATTTGACTAAAACCAGTGTTATATTTTTTCATCCTTCCACTATTTTATGGTGTTTGGCTATGCCTGTATTGATGTGTACTTTTCTGTCAGGTGTTCGCCTCAGAGGACGATCAGGATGCATTAACAACAGATCCTGATGAGCTCATTGATTCTGAAGATAGTGAAGGAATAGGTGGCGATGAAGAAGATATCTTCAGAAACCTGCTTTCTAGAGCTGGATTTCACCTCACATATGGAGATAATCCTTCACAGCCACAGGTCACTTTACGAGAAAAGCTGCTGATGGATGCTGGCGCCATTGCTGGTTTTCTGACTGGACTCCGTGTTTATCTCGATGACCCTGCTAAAGTAAAGCGCTTGCTACTTCCAACCAAGCTGTCTGGTAGCAGTGATGGAATGAAAGTCATAAAGAATGATGAATCTTCCCCTAGTTTGATGAATTTGTTAATGGGAGTCAAAGTTCTGCAGCAGGCTATTATTGATTTACTTTTGGACATTATGGTTGAGTGTTGCCAACCTACAGAAGCGAGTTCTAATGGTGATTTGTCTGATACAAACTTAAAGTCTCCAGATGGAAGTGGAGCTGCTAGTCCTCTGCAATCGGATAGAGAAAATGGAGCTGCAGAATCTGTGCATTGTCCTGTATATGAGAGATTGGATACCAGTGTTGATGAAACTAGCAGTAGTGCTTCGGCTGTTCAAAGCTCTGACATGAATGGGACTGGTATACCTGCAAAACCTCATCCTGGGCATCCAATTTCTCCCCCAGAAACATCTGCCGGGGGTTCAGAGAATGTGTCTCTTCGTTCTAAGGTACGATACTTTGTTCCTCAAGTATTTTAAATATTTTGCTTAAGTGATAGTACTGACTGTTTGAAGAAATTGAAAATTAGACCAAGTGGCCAGAGCAATCTGAGGAGCTCTTAGGATTGATTGTAAACTCACTAAGAGCTCTTGATGGAGCTGTTCCACAAGGCTGCCCGGAACCAAGACGTAGACCTCAGTCTGCACAGAAGATTTCTCTTGTACTGGATAAAGCTCCTAAGCATTTGCAGCCCGATCTAGTTGCTTTGGTGCCTAAGTTGGTGGAGCACTCAGAGCATCCACTTGCTGCTTTTGCACTTATAGAACGACTTCAAAAGCCAGATGCAGAGCCTGCATTGCGGACACCTGTAAGATTTCCTCCGAAGGCCCATCCATTTATTCATTTACTTATTGTTTTCCCAAGATTACTATCCTTTTCCTGGATGGGTTAAATATCTATTTAAAAAAGCATCTTTGGAATATGTCTTCTGGCAAACAGTATGGCTAGTCTGTGCACGTTTGCACAACTTAGTCTCTCATTACATTCTTCTTGTTTAAGTTATCTTATCTTGCTTCCCAGGTTTTTGGTGCTCTTAGTCAACTGGACTGTGGCAGTGAAGTTTGGGAACGAGTTTTATCTCAATCTCTTGAGTTTTTGTCAGATTCAAATGATGAGCCGCTTGCTGCAACTATAGATTTTATATTTAAAGCTGCATCCCAGTGCCAACACCTCCCTGAAGCGGTATGCATATAACTTATTCTGAATATTGGAAGTACTTTATTATATTATTCCTAGTAGAATATAAAAAATAAATAAATGACCCCCTTATATTATTTTACTCTAGTTTTGACGTGCTTTTCTCTAAGCATGTTTAACCTTCTTTGTTCACCATTGTAGGTCAGATCCGTTCGTGTTAGGCTAAAGAATTTGGGTGTCGATGTTTCTCCTTGTGTTCTTGAATTTTTGAGTAGAACTGTAAATAGCTGGGGAGATGTTGCTGAAACCATACTTAGAGATATTGATTGTGATGATGATATGGGTGACAGTTGCTCAACATTGCATTCTGGTCTTTTCTTGTTTGGTGAACATGGACCTAGTTCTGAACGGTTTCATTTGGTGGATGAGCAGGCTTTCCGTGCTAGTCGTCATTTTTCTGACATTTACATCTTGATTGAGATGTTATCTATACCTTGTCTTGCTGTTGAAGCCTCTCAAACATTTGAGAGAGCTGTAGCTCGTGGTGCCATTGTGGCTCATTCTGTGGCCATGGTTTTAGAAAGGCGCCTTGCTCAAAGATTGAATCTTGATGCTAGATTTGTTGCAGATAATTTCCAGCAGCCAGATGCTGTAGTGGAGGGAGAAGCCAATGAACAGTTGAGAGTCCAACAGGACGATTTTACTTCAGTTCTTGGCCTTGCTGAGACATTGGCCCTTTCTAGAGATCTTTGTGTTAAGGGATTTGTGAAGATGCTGTATACATTATTATTTAAATGGTATGCTGACGAGTCTTGTCGAGGGCGAATGCTAAAGAGACTTGTTGACCGAGCTACTAGCACGACAGATAGTAGCCGTGAAGTTGACCTAGATTTAGATATATTGGTGACTTTGGCTTCTGAGGAGCAAGAAATTATTAGACCAGTTTTGAGTATGATGCGGGAGGTTGCTGAACTTGCAAATGTTGATCGGGCTGCTCTTTGGCACCAGTTATGTGCCAGTGAAGATGAAATTATTCGCATGCGTGAAGAAAGGAAAGCAGAAAATGCTAATATGGTTAGGGAAAAAGCTGTTATATCGCAAAAACTGAGTGAATCTGAGGCTACTATCAATCGTCTTAAGGTACTTGTTGTCTTAACTGGTGATATGGCTAGGATTATCGCATCTTGTTTATTCTTTTCGGGGAATATTAGAATTGATGCATGTCATGATGTGGCAGTCTGAAATGAAGGCTGATATTGACCGCTTTGCTCGTGAAAAGAAGGAACTTTCCGAACAAATACAAGAAGTTGAGAGTCAGCTTGAGTGGCATCGCTCCGAGCGGGACGATGAAATCAGAAAGCTCACTACAGATAGGAAAGTGCTTCAGGATCGTCTTCATGATGCAGAGTCGCAAATCTCTCAGTTGAAGTCCCGAAAACGTGATGAATTGAAGGTATAAATTGCTTTTCTTTCGTGTCATCTCTGATGACCTCACAGCCTTTTTACATAGTTTGGTGTTCTTATGTAATTGATGTTTTCATCTCTGGTCATTTGATGCACCAGCAATCAGTTTTAGGTTTTAATGTTGGGCTTATTTTTTTATTATTACTTGTGTTCAATTTTTGTATGCATGCCATTTGAGGTTTAACTTTTGAGTCTTGACATCTTGTTATGAATTGTGATTTTGGATCCTTCACTAGTTGGTTCTTCTATTTCTGGATCATGTTTTGGCAATGAATTCGAAAAGTATTTACTCTATGGATCTGCATGTTTAAATAATGTTAGTGATCATACCTATTTAATGACTTTTTTTATATAAAAAAATCTTCTATGATACAATTTTTTTGGTTTGATTTTTGTATCTTGCTTTTGTGTCGAGCCATGCCTTTCTCTAACTACAATTGATGAATGTGACAGAAAGTGGTGAAGGAGAAAAATGCTCTTGCTGAAAGGTTGAAGAGCGCTGAAGCTGCCCGTAAAAGATTTGACGAAGAACTTAAACGGTATGCCACAGAGAATGTTACCCGAGAGGAAATTCGGCAGTCTCTTGAGGATGAAGTACGGCAGTTGACACAAACAGTGGGACAAACAGAAGGAGAGAAACGGGAGAAGGAAGAGCAAGTTGCTCGGTGTGAAGCCTATATCGATGGGATGGAATCAAAATTGCAGGCCTGCCAGGTTTTTGCCTCAATATAGCCAATGCTTTCCCCCCCC